TCATTGGGGAAATGAAGAAAGGGGTATAAGAAAATATTTATTTGGGTTGCTACGACAACAGAACAAGCCATCACAACAACATTCTCTCTTTTCCATCTGTCAAACTTGGGCTTGACAGAGCCTTAAGAAACACTCAGTGTCCACCCTGAAGATGAAATGGAGCAAAAATATTATTCTAAATTTGACAGATTTTTGGCTCGACTTAAAACTCTTTTATAACTCATTTAGTATTTGCCACAAGTCCCGGCTACTTCCTGTTGCAGTGGGTAGACTCAGTAGCAGTGAAGAGTAAGTACATTGTGTGTGTGTGTGTGTGTGTATGGTGGGGGGATGGCAGCATGAGTATAGGCCGAATTCAGGCTCATGTCCACCCCGAGATGCCATGCGGCCACTCACTGAGCTCGTGGCGTGTCCTGCTCTCTTGTGCTGTTCTGGGGTCTCACAAAGATTGGGGGGAATCAGAAGAATGAGGAGGCTTGCTTCCACTTCTAGCTGAACGGGCCGGAAATGGGACCGCATGTGGCGTGTGGAGTACTGTGCCCAGTGGTGATGAGCATGAAAGACCCCACGGGAGCTTATGCTGAAGGCTCTCCTCATAGACTTTCCCAGGTCAGACGATTTGCAGCCAGCCACTGTCCTCAAAGCCCTAGTTTGTCAGGGCCTGGCCAAAGAACTCTTCAGGTCTTATGGCTCTTTGTCCATAAATCAGGCAGCATTAGGTGGAGGCAGAGTCCTCCTGGGGGGATACCCAGTAAGCAGAGCAGGCCGGAGAAGGGAAGATGGGTTCTAGCTTTTTCACTGAGCAACTTCACACACAGGATGTTCTTGGGTGGATTTTCTGTGTTTTAATCATTAGCTATCTTTCTTTCTTCCTTCCTTCCTTCCTTCCTTCCTTCCTTCCTTCCTTCCTTCCTTCCTTCCCTCCTTCCTTCCTTCCTTCCTCCCTCTCTCCCTCCCTCCCTCCTTCTCTTTCTTTTTTTTCTTAAGATTTTATTTTTAAGTAATCTCTACACCAATGTGGGATTCAAACTTACAACCCTAAGATCAAGAGTTGCAGGCTCCACTGACTGAGCCAGCCAGGAGCCCCAGGAGCCCCAGCTGTGTCACCTTCTTACAGGTGAGCCAGACTTCCCTGCACTGGCTCAGTTGGCCTGTTAGGGAAGGGGTCACAACGGAGGGTCAGAGAGACCTGACACCGAGGTCTCCAGAAGTAGACAGTGTAAGCTGCACAAGAGGTGCAGAGACGCCCCGACTTCTGAGCACAGTCTAGAGCAGAGGCCTAGGCATCCTGGAGAGGACCCACAACACGATGTGTATTTAACTCTAACCCAAGAACGTTAAGAAGGGCATTAAATGAGCATACACAGTTACTTGGGCTTCACACAGCTCTGAAGTGTCAGGGATTGGAATCGCTCTAAGAAGGCCGCAGTAGCTACCCAGGTGATTTCTACTGAATCAGATGAAGCCGGGAGAGGAGTGAGCCTCTGGAGCTCAGGGAGAGGTGGGGTGTTGGGGCTGACTTTCCCTCAGCAGCATGTTCATAGAAGCACATAGCATTTGAGCCGGAGGGGTCCTGCAGGCATTAGATAGTCCTCTCCCCCACTGCACAGCTGGGCACATAAGGTGGTCGTCCCCTGGGACACTCTGGCAAGCACAGGACGCCTGAGGAGGTGGGGTCAGGTATAGGACCCTTAGCAGGTTCTGGGCCAGGATCAAAGGGAAGGCAAGGCATGAAGGAGCACGGTTCCAGGAGGTCCCAAGCACTCTGGCCTGTGGAGTGAGAGAATTTCAGAGCGAGGAGAGACTGTGGGGTTGCCCGGTCCCACGCGCCTCACTGGGCCCCAGCTGAAGGCCACAGGGAGGGAGGGCTTGGGGAGAAAAGCACAGAAGTCTTAGCTTCTTCAGTACACAATTCTAGCCTGATGCCAAGCACACAGGGGGTCTCAACGGTGTGTTTTAAAAAAGACTTTCCTTATATATTTCTGTAGATGGGGTCACAGACGCTGCCCTTACCCCCACCAGACCACATGGCGTGCTCCTCCTCCTCCCTTCTCATTTTCTCTGGAGCCAGGCTGCCTGCGTCCCAGCCCTCCCACTAACCACTGGCTTGCTTGAGCAAAGTGACTTAACCTCTGTGTGCTTCTTAGTTTCCTAATAATAGAAGCTATCTGACTGAGTTGTCAGGAGCCTGAAAGAGTACAGGTCAACCCCTTCCAAGAGCCGGGCCCAGAGGCGACATTCCAGTGTTCTTTGTGGTGGCGGTGTTGTTCCTGTCATCAGGCTTGCTCATGCTGCGATTCCTTCTTTTCCGGCCTCAGCTCTATGGGCCTTTATTTATTTATTTTTCCAACCCTTCAGGTCTGCCTGGAACGGGCACTGGACGGAAAGATAATTTATGGGGCAAGAGAGAGAATACTTCGAGGCATTTGTAACAGGAAAAGCACGGGCTGGCTGCCTTTGGGGACAACATGACGTGGGGGCTGTCACAAGTCGCAGTGATGAGGGGCCTGGGTGCAGATGAGCCCCGGTTTCATAAATGAGGAGGCCCAGGGCCCACAGCTGAGGATGCTCAGGCTTCCTCCCTCCTCCGGGGAGCACCCCCGGGCCCTGCATCCTGTGTGATGAGAGACAGATGTGCAAGTCTGAAAGCTCTAAAGGGTCTATAAAGGTAATTAAGGTGTTTTACACACACACACAGTGGTTAACTGCGCCGTGGCCTGGCTCTGGACCCTGTCCCTGCAGCAGCCATAGCTGGCATTTTACCCCCTCTGCCCTCTCATGGCGGTTTGCTGTTCGAAGGGACTCCGTCTCTAAGGGCAGAACACCAGGCATCATGGAAAGTGGGGCGAGGAGAGACACTCTGAAGTCCCCTCCAATCCGACCACATCGGTGACCTGTCCCCGCAGTAAAGCTGAACAGGAGGGGAGGAGCTGGGAGAAGCAACCCAGATGCAACCACGGGGCAGGGTCCATTCTCAGGGATGGAGTCCCTTCACTTTCCTTTGTCTCTTGTTAGAGCGGCTCTGGGGGAGGGGCTTCAGTCTGTCAATCCAGAAATCTGTCCAGGCTGGAGGGAGAGGTGGGCAAGTCCCCTCCAGACATCTTCGTCAAAGCATTTCCAGGGGTCTTCGTACCCTAAGCCTGACTCATCCCCTCTGCTGTCCTTCAGGGATGCATCTGTCTCTGACCCTTTCTATTCCCACCCTCTCTCTCATTGTACCTCTCTCTCTCTCATGTTCTCCTTTGTTGGGGAGGGAAGCCTGGGGAGGGCATGCTCCTGTCCAGCCATGCCTGTCTTCCCAGACATTTTCTCAGGCGGCACCTTCCTGAGCCTACCATCTTCAACCCGGCAGGAAGCTCCTGAAGGGGCTGCCTGACCCCATCTCCAGTCTGGGTGGGCAGCAGGTTTGCTGGGCTGGCCTTCACTTCTTGCCTCGGCCTTCCTGAGAGCCATCACTTTCCCCTCCCCCACGGTGGAGCCTGAGAATTCTACTTCCGGGGACAGAGCGGGGCTTCCAGAGAAGACAGACAGCTACTCGATAAAACCGGACCCTGGTCACTGAAGGGTTATTACTCATCTTTTGCTTCCAGAGCCCCAACCTTAGAACTCTCCCGCCTGAATTCCCCAGTGCCCAGTGAGCTCGGAGAGCTGCCCACTCCCAGCACCAGCTGCAGGCTGAGAGCCGGCCTGCTTCCTGCGCGGACCCCAGGGCACGGGGAGTGCAAGAAGCATGACAGTTAACAGTGAAGAGCTCGCTAAAACCCCGGGGCGGGGGGCGAAGGCTGGGAATAGCTAAGTGGCTGCTGTCCAAAGAGGAGCATCACCAAGATGACCAGATGGGCCGCAGTGGGAGGAGAGGACTGGATTCCATTTCCTTCCCCGTTCCTGATGAGCTCCACATTCATTCCTTCTGTCCTTTCCGTTCTTCCTCCTCCCTTTTGTTTTCCAGATTTGGGAGTCCTCCTTCCTCTCCAAGCCGCAGTTCTTTGATTTGTGTGTTTTTGGCATTTCTTCTTTCTGGCTGGACTCCTCGGTTGGCCTCATCTGCTTTCCCTGCTTGGCTGGCCCATCTCAGCCCTTCCTGGTGGGGCGGTCACCACCGGTGCTGCTGTGCCCTCAGTTCCGAAGCAGAGAAGGCTCTGATTCAGTGTTCTGAAGTGATGAAAATGCCAGGAATTCTTTTTTTTTTTTTTTTAATCCAAAATTCACTCAAATCCCTATCTGCGTCTCCTCTGGCTCTTCTTTGATTTGTGACTTGGGCTTTGCAAATCACTGAACATGTCCCTTAGGACACGGGGGGCATCCTACCATGCAGTGAGCAGGTGTGGGTGATTCTGTGTCATTTACCCACCGTGCGGATCCATCTGTGTTTATCATGGCCGGGCAGGCCTCTGTGAACCTTGGCCCCTTGCCCCCACTCCGCCTTCCTCTGTCTGCTTAGCTGCGGTGAACCGCTTTACAAGTTCGGGAAGGTGACACGCTCGGCCCACTGTCTCCTTGCCTTTGTCTACAGAGCGATAGCTCCTTTAGCCTGGAATGTGCTCTCTACTTGCTCTGAGTCTCAGGACTCAGCCAGAACTGGCCTCCCCTGAGCGTGAGTGCCCTCCTTGGCGTCCAGAACATGCCGCTCCGATAAGCCTTGATGGCATGGTCCCAGGGGCTCTGCTCACGCCTCCGTGCCCCGCCCCGCCCGGACTGAAAACCAGGAGTACAGCTCTGAGCTTTTACCCTTGTGCCTTTAGCCCACAGCAGAGTGCCCAGCACCCCGCAGAGGTAGGCTGAGTATCAGGTAAGTAGCACAGAGAAGCGCAGGCTCACGTTGTTTTACAGAACCAGTGTGCCTTATAAACCTCCCACCCTCGCGGCCCACTGGTCTGCACTCTTCCCTCCGAGGTGCTTCCTCTGCAGTCCTGGGCAGTCACCTGCCTCCCCCACTCCAACTCCAGACAGTCCTCCGACTGTCATTCAGATACTTTAGTAGAAATGGCCACGGCGGGTACCTGAGCTTGTCTGCGATGAAGATGATCCTTCTTTCCAGAAGCAGGGAGGCAAACACACAGAGCAGGTGGCGGACGCTGAGAGAGGAGAAGAGAGACTCAAAGTCTACGTGCTCGAGCCGGGAGTCCAGTGGGCGGCACAGTTCAATCACCTGCCGGGGAACAGAGCAGCCATGAGGAGGTCCTCAGCAGGGGTGAGCCATTTGCAGAGGAAGAGGGAAAAAAAAACGAGGAAGGCAAAAGTGACCGGTAAAAGAAAGATCCTAGGACACTGAGGGAGCAGCTACACTTGGTACGAACTCTATCTCACAGTTGAGTGTGAGGAACGTTCAGATGGAGGTGGGGACACTGGATGGCAGAATCAATGGCCTGTGGCCCCAAATGCTTGGAGGCTCTGCCTGACAGTGACATGTCTGGACCATGCCCCTCCCCGGGAGTTCCATGACTGTTGATGTCCTATCACTTAGAGTCCCACAGGAAAGTGTCTCTGCCTCACGAGGGAATATCACCTGCTGGAATGGAGTCACAGGCTCACGCAGAAGGACCAACAGATCCAAGCAGCACTTTCCAGACTCACCTCCTCTGGAAGGCATTTCTCAATAAACCCAACCCCATACCGATCCCTTCCTTACGATGTGTCTTACAGCTTGTATGCTTAGTGGGCACATCTTCTCATTCTGTACTCATTGAAATGTTCCCAAATTCATCTCAAGTCACTGCTCATGTGTGTTTTTCCCTTTAAATAGCTGACTCCTTCACAGTGAGCAGAGACTAGTGTTTTACTCTGAGCATGGCACCTGCCCAGTGCTGCCCCCACAGTAGGGCTCACTAATGTTAACATCCTTATGGCCGAGCCACCTGCATCTGGTATAGGATAGTACAGGGTTCTCCAGCAACACGGAGAATGCTTCCCTCTGTTCTGGGAAATTGAGTTGTTCCAGAATACCCTAGACCTATCCTTATCCCTCATCTGTATCCAGAGGTGACCTGCTTTTTCAAGGGCTTTTGGAACTAGAGACTCAAGGCTGAATGGAATCTGCCTAGTGATATCCACAGAGCCATATGAAGGGAATGGGAAGGATGAAAATAAAGTCCTGCATTAAATTCCAACCCAGCCAAGGAAAGGGACATACCTCAAAGTCCTAGACAGGTGAATAAAAAGTAGTATGTAAGCTTGTCTTACATAATCTGTTTTACATTATGAAGTTACAGAGGTGATGGAGACCAAAAATGTAAATAGGTTCAAATACAATCTATGAGTGTAACTGGCTAGTAAGAGAAGCTAAGGATGTTCGATGCAGTTCCCTCACCTGTAAGGCCAGTGTCATACAAAGAAACACCATGTGCTGCCATGGCACAGAGCTGGGGGTTGCCCTCTGGGACTAAATCCCAGAATGGAGGGACAGGGTGGATTAGGGTGGATTTTATGATGCCTGATGTCACATTCAGTGATGTAACAGACCACTGAAAGCCAGCCCTTTGGTCTGGGCCATTCTCTCCTCTAGGAGACAATAGGAATCTGATGACTTACCTCAGTTCCCGATCCTGGCAAGAAGTTCTTGACAACAATGGTTTTGCCCAGTGCTGGGAAAGGGGCTTCCATGACACTCCTCATGAGGGGCTGTACCAGGGCAGGAGAAATGCCTCGCCGTTTTTCCACCTCATCCAAGATCTGCAAGGGTCACAAAAGCAGCTTAGCTATCCTGAAGTCAGGGCACGAAGATATCACTCTGTTTTTGATGAAATGGGCCTGCCACCGCGACTAAAGAATTATGGGGAAGCCCTGCTGTCCTGATCAGGCCAAACTTAAAGTGTTTTCATCCCATATGTTATTGCCTCAAATCTCCTCTCTATGTACCCACTCCTTTGCCATGTGCCTTTGCAGTTCTTCTCACTAAAGTGGTAAAGTTCCTTGATCCCCTTGACTTTGGGTTTGGCCATGTAACTTATTGGCCTAATACATGCATTCTCACTGGGAGCAATATTGCCCCCAAGGGGATAAAAATTGGTTCTTGGGGGCGATGCTGAAAAAACTTAGATATTATAATGGTTTGTAGCCCTTTAAAAGCCCACAGTACCTAAAAAGATCTACAGCGTATCTGTGGAGTTAAAATATCTCTGAGGCTAGCCATTATGGAAGTGCAAACCAAAACCACAAGATACCACTTCACACCCATTAGGATGGCTATAACCAAAAGATAGACAACAGCAAGTGTTGGTGAGGAAGTGGAGAAACTGGAACCCTCATGCACTGCTGGTGGGATTGTAAACTAGTGAAGCCCCTTTGCTAAGCCGTCTGGCAGTACCTTAAAAGGTTAAAGAGAGTGCTTCCATATGACTTAGCAATTACACTTCTGGATATTTACCAACAGAAATGAAAACATGTTCACACAAAAACTAGTACATTGGGCCGCCTGGGTGGCACAGTCAGTTAGGCGTCTGACTCTTGATTTCAGCTCAGATCATGATCTCAGGGTTGTGAAATCAAGCCCCATGTCGGCGAGCTCACAATCAGCAGAGTATGCTTGAGATTCTCTCTACCTCTCCCTCTGCCCCACCCCCGCGTGCTCTCTCTCTCTCTAAGATAAATAAATAAATCTTTAAAAAAAACAAAAACAAGAACTAGTGTATTAATGTTCATAGCAGAATTATTCATAATATTTCAAAAAGGGGAAGTAACCTAAATGTCCATCAACTGATGAATGGATAAACAAAATGTGATGTTCCATTATATGCCATTATCAGCCATAAAAAAGAATGAGATATTGATTCATGCTACAACATGGATGAACCTTGAAAAGATTAGGCTAAGTCAAAGACACCAGTCACAGAAGGCCACTTATTGTATGATTCCACTTGGATAAAATGTCCAGAACAGGCAAATCCATAGAGACTGAAAGCAGATTGGTCGTTACTAGGGTTGGAAAGTGACTGCTCGTGGCTACAGGTGTTGCTGGCTGGGGTGATAAAAATGTCCTATAAATGTGGTGATCATTATGTAACTGTGTGGATATGCTTTAAAAGCCACTGAATCCTAGATTTTAAATGGGCACATTTTATGTTTTACAAACTATATCTCAATAAAACTGTTACTTTATTTTATTTTTTTTAAGATTTTATTTATTTATTTGACACAGAGACACAGCGAGAGAGGGAACACAAGCAAGGGGAGTGGGAGAGGGAGAAGCGGGCTTCCTGCTGAGCAGGGAACCCGATGCAGGGCTCGATCCCAGGACCCTGGGATCATGACCTGAGCCGAAGGCAGACGCTTAACAACTGAGCCACCCAGGTGCCCCATCAATAAAACTGTTATTTTAAAAAAATCTAAATGCAAGACCCTCCATAATCTCGTTGTGGACCAAAGAGTTTAAATAAAAATACCATTTATATTAATACACATGTAGCCATTGAACCCTTGAAATATGGCTAGTCTGAATCGAGGTGTGTTGTAAATGTAAAATCCTCAGTAGATTTCAGAATACAAAATTAAGGATGTAAAATATCAATGACCATATGGATTATATGTTGAAAAAATCATATTTTGGATATGCGGGTTAAATGAAATTTATTATTAAAATTAAAAAGATTCTATATACGGTAATTCTTCAAAAAATTAAACATAGAATTACCATAGGATCCAGTAATTCCACACTTATGGGTACATAGCCCAAAGATTTGAAAGCAGGGACTCAGATATCTGAATGGCTATGTTCATAGCAGCATAATTCACAATAACTAAAATGTGGAAACAACACAAATGTCCATCTACGGATAAACAGATAAAGAAAATGTGATATATACAAATAATAGACCGTTATTCAGCTCTAAAAAGGAAGGAAATTATGACATATGCTCCAATATTGATGAACCTTGAGGACACATGCTAAGTGAATATAAGTCAGTTACAAAAGGATAAATATATGATTCCATTTACATGAGATCCTGCAGTGATCAGATTCATAGAGACAGAAAGTAGAATGGTGGCTGCCAGGGCTAGGGAAAGAAGGGAATGGGGAGTTAGTGTTTAATGGTTGCAGAGTTTTGGTTCAGAGATATCAAAAAATTCTGGAGATGGATGATGGTGACAGTTATATACAATGTGAATGAACATAATGCTAATCAACTGTACACTTAAAAATGGCGAAAATAGGGGCATCTGGCTGGCTTAGTCGGTAGAGCATGCAACTCTTGATCTCAGGGTTGTGAGTTTGAGCCCCATGTTGGGTGTAGAGATTACTTAAAAATAAAACCTTTAAAAAATGGCTAAAATAGTAACCTTTATGTTATGTTTATTTTAGCATGTTAAAAAATAACATGACAAAAAATTAAAAAGAATCTTTTGGGGGCGGGGAGGCAATTCAGGGAAGAAAATCTTAAAAGGCTGGTTAGGGGGTAATAAAGAAAGGATGAGGAACACTGAGGCAGAAGTGACAGTGTACCAGTTCGAAGCCTGGGCCTTAGGAGGCCTGTCTTATGTGTTTCCGCTTGCCCTCTTGGGCCTCTGCCTCAGCCACAAGAACTGCACACCTGGGCCAGCTCCCTGTCTAAGGAGGATGACAGACATGTGGTCTAGGCCCAACCCCAGACTGGCAGCCGACAGCAGAGATCGGGCAGCCTGGGTCAGCCAACTCCCAGCCTACCCCCAACGCACGAGTGAGCCCAGTGGAGAAGAGCTGAGCTGAGCCCAGCTACTCCGTGCGTCTATAAGAATAAATGACCGGTGCTTTAAGCCACTGTGGTTTGTTACTCAGCATGACTGTAGTGATACTTAATGGTATACTTTTCTTCAGAGATTTTGAGAGCTGTTCTTGAACAGGATTCCCCTTCCTTCCTTCTTTTTCCTTCCTTCCTTCCTTCCTTCCTTCCTTCCTTCCTTCCTTCCTTCCTTCCTTCCTTCCTTCCTTCCGTCTTCCCTTCGTTTTTTGTTTTTGTTTTTCAATGTGGGGCTTGAACTCACAACCCGGATTCCTTTCTCTGTACAACAGGACAATTTGTCATTTTAGTCATCCTCGTCCCTCACCTGGAAATAGCTCGAGTTTTAGAGATCAGTTTGCCAAAGCTCTGTTTCTGGTTCTATCCAGCATATTTACTGTTTGGTCTTTGGCATGGCATCACATCACACTCCCACAATATCCCTAGTCACAAAAATGCTACGAAAACACAGAACTGTGCATCACACACTGTGTTAGTATGTTGACTTGCTTGTCATCCCCCGTCCATGACAAAACAATGGAGCTCACGTGAATTCCAAAGGCACCACTGGAATGGTTAACTTCCACTGGGCTAACCGCTGGGCTAACCCAGCTGTTTTACTTCTACCTTCTGTAGCATTCTCACAACAGCAAAGACTACGACACAGCCTTATTTCCACATTTAAACAACCCCTTGGGAGAGACCTATGTGAGCAGTAATGCATAACTGTCCTAGAGCCTTTAAGTGACCAACTTCCGTGTAAAGGGCTTACCACCCCAGTGGAGGGAAGGCAGGAACGCAGATACATTGATACCATTCTTTATTTCTAACACACTTGCCCAGAAGTATAAGTTCTACCAAGGCAAGAGGTTACGCTAGATCAGTATAGGTCAGGCTTCCTCTGAAGGTAAGTGGAAGGTGACCCTCTCTGGGCCCTGACCTTCACTGGCTCTCACTGCAGGTACTAATGGTAAGAGAACAGAGGAGGTGATGGGGGGAGGAAGTGGGAAGGAAACTATGTGGGGATATGATTACAAAAGCACCAGGAGTCCAGGTGTTTCCTGTGTCTTCCCGGGCTCTGCCTTGCCTTCCCTTCCTCCCTCCTCTGAGGCCTCACCTTTGAAAAGAGACTGAAGCATCCCAGGCGGCTCACGATGCAGTAAACTTCAGGGAGACGCTTCCCTTTGCCACCAGGCTTTTGGTGTGAAACAAGGAAATCGTGAGTGTTACCATCTCAAAGTAGAGAACCCAAACATTTTTAAGTGCCTATCATGTGGCAGATGTGTTTCCCCACTGCAGCTTTTGAAAACTCATCAGGTAAGTAGTTACCAATACCCCATTTTATAGGTGGGAAGCACTTCTGGTCACACGGCATATATACTTATAGTCTCCTGAAGGGACCAAATCAAGGGTGTCATGCTCACAGTAGGTGCTCAATATGGCCTATGGAACCATAAAGTAAGGAGGCTTAGCTTGTTTACCCAAATCACTGTGGTCCCTCTTAAGGAGTTACCTTGAAACCAAATGTTGTTTATTATAATGGTAATTCCAAACCAGAAATCATTTCTGAACATCCTTTTTGCAACGTGCCTTTTAAACTAATTTTCCAACCAAAATGAAAATCTATGTCAAAGTAATTTCATCACCAAAACTTATTATCCACTTCACTTTTTAAATTGTTATCTATGCTTTTTCACTAATTCAACAAATATTTATTGAATACCTACTATGTGCTGTGCATTATCCTGACTCTAAATTATATCAACTTATTTCAAAGATTCAAATACACTGAGTGGAAAATGATTTGCTCCTATTAAAGATTTTCAAAAGAATGGGTCTCAAAAAGACAAACTCTAAAATGGGTTAGCATGATCATTTCATTGGAATACAATCCTCACTTCTAAAGGTGATTGTTCTGAAGAACACATTCTTGAATGATCTGTAGCATGAACAACAGAACTACCCTTCTTTGGCCCTTAGCAACCGTTATGAATGTGTGTGCTATAAGCTCTCTGGGTCTGTTTAGCATGTTTTATTAGAAAGAACATTTGGCTTAAGGACAGAAAGGTCTTTTATTTGGCAGGGAAAATAATGGAGGAAGTATTTTCTTTCTAAGGGAGATGGAGCTCTTGTTCCTTTCTACCACTAAGATTTCGATGAACCCCCAAATCTTTCATGTTTTTAACTCCGCTGATGAACCTGTCACACTTCCTGCCTCTTCTCTCATGGCACACGGTGAAGCCCCAGGACCCAGTGCTGCGCGGGGCTGCCCAGAGAGCTGGCAGACCAACAGAAGACTGTACTAACCAGCAGTCTTCGGCAGTAACCAAACCGTCTGCTCCCATCTTCTCCAGTTAAGACAAATGAGAAGGTTTCGCTGCATTTGGGGAAACAAAAGTACATTACATAGCAAAACAAAACAAAAGACACCTGGCAGAGAGCAATCGGGGGACATTCCAGAGGGGGCTGTCAAAAAGGGCGGCTCCCTGTCTTGCCTGTCCATCTCTGTGCGAGGACTCTGTGCGCCTGTAGTTTTGGGGTCGGTGTCAGGGAGAAGGAGACCTAAAGTGTCACTGCATCCTGAGAGGATGAGGTCCCATAGCGCTCTATCATCTGACCGCCCCGTTGCCCAAAGAACGGCAGTCACTTACAGAGCATCGATTGTGACTACGGCCCTCCGTGAGCTCCAGGGTGAGATGGCATCCGCTGTTCTAGGGATGTGACTCAGTGAAGGAGCAGCCGAAGAGGGGGACAGTTCTGTGTCCCTCTTGAAACTGCCCCTGGGGTGACCCTCCCTGAGACCTGTCTCTTCAGAGCCCCCTGAGGCTCAGACTGCCCTGAGACACTGCTGGGCCAACTTTGAGGAACATGGTGTGCCTCAAACACAGGCTATGCAGCCCTCTGAGTTTGGTCAACTGCTGAAACATCTGATAAAAAAAAATACTGGTACATAACAACATGGTTAAAGCAGAAACGTAAAGCTATCACAATCTGAGTTGACAGCTAGATGGGCTGCTATTAAATGAGTCCAGAGCACGGACAAGGAAGGGTGACAGACAATGTTCCTCTAGTTCCTCCTAGACGAAGAATTACTTTTGCCCTTCACAGAGGCTTATGAACCAAACATATGCCCAGATTGTGTGGGAGGCTGGGAATCTGCATATTTAGTCAGGTGGTTCTTATCTTCAGGGAAGTTTTAAAACACGGGTGGGGAAAGTCTCTAGCCTGGGGCCCATCAGGATCGCTGGCAGTAAGACCGAATTATGGCGTCTGTCCTCTCTGACCCCTCCCTGGTTCTTGCCGAGCCTTTGGGGGTGGGGAAGGGAAATGCCTGCACATACCTGGTAAACTGCTGGACAGGAGTCCAGTCCTTGGCATCAGGGAAACAGAACTGAGGGATAGCCTTCAGCTGGTCCTCAGACTCTCTCATGAACTTGAAAGACCTTTCCAACTGCAGCAAGAAGGGTGAGAGAAGGTTGGGGAATAAACCCCAGCTTGGGAGAGAAAGGCAGACCCTTGGCAAGACCACATCTTCCACCTGCCCACAGCTGAGAGCGCCACCTTAACCTAGGAAGGGTCTGCAGCTCAGTCTGCCGGGGCGTTTTTTTCCCAGGGTACTGTCAACTCTAGTCTTATGGGAGAAGTCAGGAGAAAACAAAATAGTGTGTTTTAGAGAAATATTCTTGCTGTCTAACATTCTGGAATATAACTGTTTTATTTATTTTATTTTTTGGACTATATTTGATTTTTTATTATTTTTTAAAAGATTTTATTTACTTATTTGACAGAGAGAGAGAGAGAGAGCGTGAGAGAGCACAGCAGGGGGAGCGGCAGAGAGAGAGGGAGAAGCAGGCTCCCCCCACTGAACAGGGAGCCCGACACGGGACTCAAGCCCAGGATTCTGGGCTCTGACCTGAGCTGAAGGCAGACGCTTAACCGACTGAGCCACCCAGGTGCCCCTGGACTATAACTATTTTAATCAATAAGGAAAAAGTGTCAAAGCAATCCCCTCCAAATAGGAGACTGAATCTGCAAGGCAGAGCCTTGAATCTGGTCTTCCAACCTCTGGGCCCCTGAAAGCTGCCCTTCCTCGATCCAGGCAAAGACATTTTGTAACACTTCTTAGTGAATACATGCAGTTAAATTACATTATACAGTAAACTTCAATGACATTAATGTCATTGTCCTTGAATGTTAGAACTGAAAGGAAATGAGACATCATCCAGTGTCACATTCTTATTTTAGAGATAAGGAAATAGCCTTGACATGTTAAGTGATATGTCCATGGTCACATAATTAGTGTGGAATCTAGCTAGGGATGGTTTTTCTTGTTTTGTTTTGTTTTTTAACTTTTACTGAGAGAGAGATTGCGGTGGGGAGGAGCAGAGGGAGAGGGACAAGAAGACTCTGCACCGAGTGTGTAGCTTGAAGGGGGGTTGATCCCACGACCCTGAGATCATGACCTGACCTAAAATCAAGAGTTGGATGCTCAAATGACTGAGCCACGCAGGTGCCCCTCTAGCTAGGAATCTTAATCTTTAGTCTCTCTCTCTCCCTGACTTATTTGACATCATAGGCTGAAGGAATATCCTCGTGTTAAAAAAACAGAACAGGGGCGCCTGGGTGGCTCAGGTGGTTAAGCGTCTGCCGTCGGCTCAGGTCATGATCCCGGAGTCCGAGGATTGAGCCCCACATCGGGCTTCCTGTTCAGCAGGGACTCTGCTTCTCCCTCTTCCTCTATTCCTCCCCGGCTCATGCTTGCTCTCTCAATCTCTCTCTCTCTCGCTCTTCTTTCTCAAATAAATACATAAAATCTTTAATGTCTGATTAAAAATTGTATTAAAGCCATGTGTTTACTTATTTGTGTATGAACAGGAGTCTGTGCTTTGCACCCCATTCTGCGGATCTGCTGAACAACAATGTGCGTGCAGTTGACAACACTGTTCTATATACTTGGAAATGTTGGGAGGGTGAATTTTATGTTGTGTGTGTGTGTGTGTGTGTGTGTTTTAAAGATTTTATTTATTTACGTGACAGAGAGAGATACAGTGAGAGAGGGAACACAAGCAGGGGGAGTGGGAGAGGGAGAAGCAGACTCCCCTCTGAGCAGGGAGCCCGATGTGGGGCTCAATCCCAGGACCCTGGGATCATGACATGAGCTGAAGGCAGATGCTTAATGACTGAGCCACCCAGGTGCCCCTATGTTGTATATCTTTGTGCCATGTTAAAAATGAAGCACGACAGGTTCAAGTTTAGGAAACAAAAAGGAATAATCAGTAATTAGCATATTTGTTTATAAATTTGTACTTCTAAAGTGTTGGGAAGAATGGCTGGCTTCTGTTGTTGTTATTGACACGTTTATACTTGTTAACTTTTCTTTATAAAGAGTTAAAGAAAAACATTATGCTCAAGTTACCTTCAGTAATTTGACGTACCAAATATTTGGAGTCTTCATTTCTGAAGTTAGAAAACTGTAATGTCTAACCTAAATTCTTTCTGTAACATTTTCCATCAATTTCTTATTTTGTCTCTCAGAGCTTGCCATTGACCTCCACCTCAAACCAGCTTTGCAGACAGCTTCTGAAGTCTGCAGACCACCAACACTGTTAAATGCTTCCCAGAGGATCCAGAAGCCTTCCCCAGGACACCAAATGTCAGAGAGGGGAGGTCTCTAAAGAGAGTATCCAAAGGAATACAGCACTGGGCTGATTTATTTTCAATTTTAAAACCTACTTCTCGTATGTTTTCCCTTAGGCTACAGCAAATAAAATTAAAGCTGCTATTAATATTAATGGTTGAGGGCGCTTGGGTGGCTCAGTTGGTTAAGCGACTGCCTTCGGCTCAGGTCATGATCCTGGAGTCCCGGGATCGAGTCCCACATCGGGCTCCCTGCTCAGCAGGGAGTCTGCTTCTCCCTCTGACCCTCCCCCCTCTCATGTGCTCTCTCTCTCTCTCATTCTTGCTCTCTCAAATAAATAAATAAAATCTTTAAAAAAAATATTAATGGTTGAGACAACTATCAATGAATGAAACACAGCCACCATTTATAGACTTAAAGCCAATTAGTAACTGTCTTTTGGTTTTCCTCCTTCAGAATCAGTAGTCACTGTCTCTTTTCTATATAATGATACTCTTTTCCCTCCATGACCCAGAAGATTCCAGCTGGTCCTGGAGCAGTTTTTAGCTCAGACTGTTGCCAAAGCAATAATTTTGACTATCCTTGGACAGTCTCACAGAGAAGCAAATACCGGCTGGGTGTAGTTGTTGGAAGGGGTCGTTAATCACCACAGAGGGAAGGGCCATCAACTATAAAGAATACAAAAGGAAAGAACAGGGACATTTCTCCACAGTGGAAACCATTAGAGAACTGCAGAGTAGGCCTTGTAGGGAGGCAAGTTCTAGCACTTTTTGACATGGCCCATCCATTTGGATATACCCGCCCTCAGATCACATGCACAATACACACAAATACATGTGAACACACATGTGCCTATACATGCTGTCATCAACATAGGAGTTATCAACCCATATGGGCACATATGTGCTCTTATATGCACATGCATTCATTTACAGGAAGTGAGACGTGGAGATGTCTCTCACAAATACAAGCAATCATAAATGGCTGGAAAACTTCCCAGCCTCCATGAATTGTCATAAAGACAATTACACGATAGTGAGCATTTTAGTGGAACATGGCAGGCATGATCTCTAGTGTGCAAAGATGGAGGGTAAGTCTTGGTCAAGGTGACTATAGAAATGGGGGATAAAACTCATGAGAAAGAGTTAGAAAGGGGGAGAAAGAAGGAGGAAAAGGTACTTCTGACAGAGAACGAGAGCAAAGGCAAGAAGATATAAAATAGCCTGATCTGCAAAAAATGCATGTACAGAATGATCACATAACATTTAAAATATATATCTAAAGAAACACTGGCAATAAGATACATTTCCAACAGAAAGAGACTGGTTAAACAGATTAGGGCATACCCACATAACAGAGCTATATATAATTTTTAAAAAATGCTTTAGAATTTATATTAAATATGTTTCTAAATAATGATACGTTTACAAAACATGATGCAAAAATTATACAGTGTATAACACCAGTTTTGTCAGAAAATTACACTATGAGAAAAGTCTGGGAGAAAACATAATAAAATGCTAACATCAATTATCTCTGTGGAGTGGGATTATAGCTGACTTTTTCTTGATACATTTCCAGATTGGTCCCCTTTCCAATAACGACTATATAAGTTTCCACTCAAAGAAGTTTTTTTTTTTTTTTAAGATTTTTTTATTTATTTGACAGAGAGAGAGAGAGACAGTGAGAGAGGGAACACAAGCAGGGGGAGTGGAAGAGGGAGAAGCAGGCTTCCCGCCGAGCAGGGAGCCCGACGCGGGGCTTGATCCCAGGACCTGGGATCATGACCTGAGCCGAAGGCAGACGCTTAACGACTGAGCCACCCAGGCGCCCCTCAAAGAAGTTTTAATGTGGATATCTAAGAGCCTGGGGATTCCAGGTTGGAAACTACAAGCATTCAATAGTTATGGTGATTCATTCATTCATTCATGAATTAATGCCTTTGTTCCTGAAATATTGATTAAATATTGCCATGTGTACAACATTGTGCTAGGCCCCGAGGGAAGTAAACAGGATAAAAACAGTCCTTCGTGCCTTGGTGCTCTCTCCGTGTGGGCCTCAACTAAATGTGGGCATACCTACAGGGCGCCTGGGTGGCTCAGCCAGTTAAGAGTCCAACTCTTGATTTCAGCTCAGGTCATGATCTCAGGGTTGTGCGAGCGAGTCTTGTGTTGTGCTCTGCTTTCAGCAGAGTCTGCTTGAGAGTCTCTCCCCTTCTCCCTCTGTAGCCCCCTCTCCTTCTCTCTCAAATAAATAAATAAAATATTTTAGGAACAAATAAATAAATGTGGGCATACCTATAGTATTGGGGTTTTCAGGGGATCATCCTTGGAGGTCAGCTAAAGGAAGGCGAATAGAGCCAGTTAGGAGGGCTAGTGCCCATGGCTTACTTCGATTATACAGTTTCCATCCACGGACAGGACTTGATTGCTGCACTGGACCACAGTGGGCAGGACAGAAGGAAGCTGGCCCAGGACAGGAGGAGACCTAGGCCTCCACAGATACTGGGAGTATGCATGGGTGGTGGCAGCAAAGGGAGGCCCCTGAGGGGACCAGGACGCATACACCCTCCCAGCCTCCTGCCTCTGAGTACCTTCATTGTATGAACTGTGCAGACAGTGCTACATTCTACCTCATGAGTCTTTGTATGCTTATCTTTTGCCTTCCTGTCAGAGTGTGAGCTTCTTGAGGACAGGAAACACATTTTGCTCATCTTTGTAATAATGGGGCCAAGCAGAAAACAGCTTGAATGTAATAGGGTCTCAGTAAATTCTGGTTGGACTGAATAGAGCCTCTTTAATACTGGTATCAAAGCCCAAGAATGTATAAATGTATACATTATTGGTCATGCCATTTCAGGCTTTGCTGAGGGCCATTTCATGAACCATGTTAGAACAGAACAGAAATCTAGTGCACACATCCAGGGGTACACGGTGCACGTACAGATATTCGGCATGGACACAAACATAGCCCTCCCTGGGGAGAGTTGTGTGGCTGATGGGAAAGACGCTTCTAGGACATCTTGGAAAGAGATGTGGCTGGATAAGGAGACGGGGAGCATGAAGAAGATGGCACAGTCACCACAGCAAGTTAAGTGTTTTTGTCTGTACTTTGAGTCTTCAAATCCCTCACCTCCTGGGACCTCCACAATTCTCCAGCGGCAGCTTTTTTCATTTGCTATACCCAAATGGGGACTCACGGTTCAAGATTCTAGACAGTGAGTGTTCCTCAGACTCCCGCACCTCCCAGAAACTGCGAGTCCCAACAAGATGTGGGCACGAGTGCTACAGTCCCCCTCGAAGGCTGCCGAGGCCGAGCCACCCTGTACCTTGAGAGGGAACTGCTGGGTGAGTTCTGGCACATACGCAGCCCCGGCCTGCTTCTTGTGTAGGGACACGACCACGAAGTACTCGAACAGCTGCCTCTGTTGGTACTCCATGAGCTCCCGGTCAAGGCATGGGTATCTGGGAGCATGCTTCAGGCGGGACTTCACATTGACCAGGCGCTGGCTGTGAGCTAAAGAGAGAGGGTGAGTGAGTGCCTGGGCGTCTCTCCTTCCAACGTGGAACCGCACAGAGCTGTGGTTCCTGGCTCAGAGTACTCCTTCCGATCCTACAAGTGTTCCCACCTTTAACAAATGAATACAGAACTCTTTGTTTGGGGTCCTTGCCAAACTTGGGGGAATCAACACTGGATTGGGGGTGCGGATGCCTGGAACGTGGGGCTTTGCTCTGCCATGGGTGGGCTGGGTGGACTCGGGCCAGCGGCTTGAGTCATTCTTGTGTACCTCTGTCAGTTGGGGTGGAGACACTGACTCTTCCCCTCACATATTTCCTTCATCTTTCAGTTTGTGGGATGTGACAAAATCCAGACCACAGAGCTTTGCAAACAGGAAACTGTCATCATCTGCGTGACAGGCCGGGCAGAGCCACGACTAAGTCAGGAGCTCCTGCCCGCCTTCCCTTCTGCCGCTGTTCTCTGTGATGGAAAGGGGCTTGTTTCATCCTAGAGGTGGGCCAGGGAGCACGGGGTGTGAGAGATGAATGAGGCAGGGCCGCTGACCAGACAGGTCCCCATCACCTCACTCAGCAGGTCCGGACTATGGCTTTCCTGGGCTTCCCCCTGGGGTCTGAGAAATTGTGGAAAACTCACTAAAGCCTAGACAAAAGTCACCGAATTTAGATCTACAGAGACCAATTATTTCAGTGACTTCATTTGATAGATGAGGAATTAGAGGCCCTGAGATCTTAAGTGATTTCCTTCTGGTCCTATAGCAATTTTCACAGGAGTGGGACAAGAGCCCAGGTGTCTGGAACCCCAGACCAGCTGCACTGTACATCCCAGGTGTGCAAAACAGCTATAACGGAACGGCACGGCAACGGGGCCACCGTAGATGTAGACACCCTGCATCTCTGGAGCCATAGACTCAGTGACCAAACAGGCCCATGCTGGTCACGCTCAGGACTGACCGGCCCCCACGCACCCTGTGGGTCCCCCATCCCCCCAGACGTTCACGCCTTGCCCAACAAGCTCGTGTAAGGACGCTCGGTCTCGTCCCTCACATTAAGCAGGAAGGGCCACATTGGTAGCCCCCCAGCCCCCTGCCTGTGCCCTGCACGGCAGCTGGTCTTCTCACCTTTCAGCTTCTCTTCCGTGTCACTGTCAGACTCACTGTTTTCATCTGTCACTAGACAGAAAAACAAACAAACAAACAACATAAAAAATGGCAATAGGACGAAAGGTGCTTATGTGAGTTTTTCTAATAAGAAAACTTTTTGTATGAAGTGACACAAATCCAAGATTTCTACTTCAGAGGGGCTATTTTCTTTCTGGTGATTTAAATGTAATGGACAAACTAGGTCTTCGTCCAACTAAATATAATTTCCAAATTAATGTGGCTCTAGTTCAGATGGCACCTATATCCGATAATATAGCAGATACTGGCTCCTTGTATGCATGGGAAGCAAAGAAGGCAGCTCCCAGGGTGAGCCGGATGGACAGTGGAACAGGACCAGAGGATGCACCACCAGGCTGAGCTCATTCCTGGCTCTTGGCTGTCCCGCGATCCCAAGGACAACAGGAGATATATACAAAGCACCACCTTGTTCTCCTCTTTGGTGAGCCAACCCCAAACAACAGGATGCCTCTTGTAGGAAGACTCTTGTTTTCACATAGTTGGGGGAGGTGGGACGGTGGACGGTACCTTTTCCCGAGCCGCTCTCCGTGGACTGGGAGAGCCTCTTCACGCGTTTCTTCCCTCTCCGGGCCTCATAAATGGCATTGATTCGCAACACCAGCTGTCAGGCGCAGGGAGAAGAAAAGCCAGTGTTAGCAGCTGGGATTCCTCTATTGCTCGTTCTCTTCTGGGACGATCGAAGGCCCAGGGAAGGAGGGAGGAGCCGTTTCCCACTGGTCCACTGGCATCTTTCAACTACTCTTTTCTACCAGACAGGAACATGACTTTCGAGAACACTAAAGGAGGCTGCCAGCCTCACTGATGTGTGAACGCATGATGTCTAAATATACTAACGCAGGCAGCCGGGACACAGGGAGACAATTTCATTGGCTAATTGTGTGACGGCTGCTCCCCCTTCGATGCCTCGATGTCACTGTGCCTTGGGGGCAGCCTTTGCCCCCCACCCCCCGGGGTGGGGGGAAACAAGAAAAGGAAGAGACAGCAAAAATAAAAAGCCTCCCAGGCCGGGCCCCTTTTGTAGGAACCGTGCCAAAGACCGTCTGAGCGGCACTGGGCAGCAAGGGGGCAGCGATTACGGTGGTTTTGAGTTCTAGCTTGGGGCTGCGTGGTGGTGCCCTGCACCCAGCAGACCCAGCACACCCCCCTTCTTGCAGGGGAGCGCTCATCCACACTCATGGAGGCCTTTGGTGATCTCTCCTACTGCTCAGCAGGCACCACTACTCAGCAGCACATTTTCCACACCGACTCTAGCAGACCCATCTGGCCATGGAAAACCCGGGTCACTTCCCACCAGGCTTTACAGCACCGCCTGCAAATTTCAAGAGTGGAAGCTCCCTGGGCCCCACCTGACTGCGAGAAAGGGAAGTCTACCCATGCATAGTCAAGGCAAGCCAGTGATTTTAATTAATTAAATAATTAAAGTTTATTTTCTTTAGTAATTTCTACACCCAACGTGAGGCTCAAAACCATGACCCTGAGATCAAGAGCCACATGCTCCACCTAGTGAGCCCCCAACAGGTGATTTTAAAGGGAAGCTGTGTTTAAATAAAATCTTAGAAAAAAAACCAGTGGGGGGGCACCTGGGTGGCTCAGTCATTGGGCGTCTGCCTTCGGCTCAGGTCGTGATCCCAGGGTCCTGGGATCAAACCATGCATCGGGCTCCCTGCTCAGCGGGGAGTCTGCTTCTCCCTCTCCCTCTCCCCCTGCTTGTGTTCCCTCTCTCGCTGTGTCTCTCTCTGTCAAATAAATAAATAAAATCTTAAAAAAAAAATAAAGGGGAACTGTGTGTGAAACCTGCCTTAAAAAGTTTTATATTCTTTTTGGCCTTGGAAGAACTGGAGAGAGGATGTGCTATAGTAAACTGGGTGATGGGCACACAGGTGGGTGCAGTGGGTTAGCTGATGCCAATCCCTGACTCTGCCCTCCACTTCCTCTGTCCCACTCCCTGAAGTAGCTCACCAGCTCCTCTCCACAAGCCAGAGCGCTGGACCGCCAGTGGAGGAAGGTGGCTCATCCTCCACGTCTCCTTGTGGTGGGCCTGGGCCCTGGTCCTCCAGCTCTGCAACTGGTAAGACACTGCCCTGCCATATCCTTGGACACCTACACACTCTGGGTCCTGACAGGTGGCCCAGCCCTGGCCTTGCCAGCTCTCTCTGTGAATTCCTTGTCCCCAACCCTGCGCTGGCTTTGCCTTATCTGAATGAGGTCTCTGCCTTCACCACCAAACCCCTCCCGTGCGGCAGTTATTTATATTTGTTCTTACGAACCAGCCATTTCCTTGAGAGCTCATAGTCCTGAACTGGCTCTCTTTTCTTTTTACACACGTCCTAACCATTGGAATATTAATGTTAACCCCATTTCCCACGGAAGAAGACAATGCATAAATGAGATGCTGGTATTATTCACAATAGTCAGGAAGTGAAAACATCCAAATGTCGATTAAAGGATGAATGGGTAAGCACAGTGTGGTACGTACATACAGTGGCACATTAGTTAGCCTTCAAAAGGAAGGGAATTTGGACACATGCTCCAGCATAAATGAAACTTGAGGATGTTCTGCTAAGAGAAATAAGTCAGTCACAAAAGGACAAATATTATATGATTTCATTTATATGAGGTACCTGGAATAGGCAAATTCAAAGAGACAAAAAGTAGAATGATGGTTGCCAGAGGCTGGGGAGGAGGGTGGCATGGGAGTTAGGGTTTAATGGGGTGCAGAGTTTCCGTTTGGGGAGATGAAGAGTTCTGTAGATGGGGCTGGATCCCATGACCATGAGATCATTGCTCAGTGGGGAGCATCTGGTGATGGTTGTATAACAGTGTAAATGTACTTAATGCTACTGAACTGTACACTTAAAAATGGTTAAAATGGCAATTTTTATGTTGCATATATTTACCACAATTTAAAAATATATAAATAAACAAATGAGTTACTAGGTCAAATTGTGGGGGTTTTTTTTGGGGGGGGAGGATTTTTAAACCCATTCAGCCTCCTCTCACCCAACATCCAAAATTAACTAGAAAGAAGACAGCTACAATACAGTTAACATCCTTCCACTTATTAAAATATAGTGAACACTAGAATGTAAGTTTCATGCAGGTGGGGATCTTTGTCATTTTGGTTTGTTGCTGTAAAAGTACCTGTATGGGCTGGAACAGAGCCTGGCACCTGGTAGATACCCAACAAATATTTGTTGATAGTGAATTTGTTGGATGAGTACTAAGCATCCCGTACAAGGGGTTTTGCTAGAAGCTGTGAGGGGTAAAAAGATATATGGAACATGGCATCTGTTCTCAGGAAGTTTATAAGCTAATCGCAAGGACCAAATGCATTCATAGCTATCATACAAGACAGTTCATGAGTGCTGTGTGAGTAGTATAAATGACATGACAGAGAAAGTTCTTCTCACTTTAAATCAGGTCGTGGAATAAATGGAAGCCATATATACTTCAGTCAACAAATCTCTGTTCCTTTTTATTTAAAGGATTATTCCCAGAGAGAAAAACTTTAAACATGCTCTCACATAATTATACTTTAACAGGAGTGAAGTTTTGTTGTTTTAAAAGTGTTCTGTACTAGGGGGCGCCTGGATGGCCCAGGCGGTTAAGTGTCAATTCTTTTTTTTTTTTTTTAAGATTTTATTTATTTTGACAGAGAGAGAGAGCACGCGAGCCAGTACACAAGCACAGGGAGGGGCAGAGCCAGAGGGAGAAGGCGGCTCCCCACTGAGCAAGGAGCCCTATGTGGGACTTGATCTCAGGACCCTGGGATCATGACCTGAGCTGAAGGCACACGCTTAACCTACTGAGCCACCCAGGTGTCCCTAAGTGTCGATTATTGATTTCAGCTCAGGTCATGATCTCATGGTCATGGGATCCAGCCCCATGTTGGGCTCCATGCTCAGCAGGGAGTCTGCTTGAGATTCTCCTTCTCCCTCTGCCCTTCTTCCCACGTGCTTCCTCTCTCTCAAATAAATAAATAAAATCTTAAAAAAAAAAAAGAATCATGTACTCAAACCTAGAGTTGTGTTAAAGCTCTTTTAACCCAACAGCTAATTCACCTGATCATCCCTGTTTAATTTGCTAAAATGATGGTGAGGCTGGCAGTATAGATGTTAATGGCCACTTTATTTTTATTTTTTTTAAAGATTTTATTTATTTATTTGACAGAGCGAGACACAGCGAGAGAGGGAACACAAGCAGGGGGAGTGGGAGAGGGAGAAGCAGGCTTCCCGCGGAGCAGGGAGCCGGATGCGGGGCTCGATCCCAGGACCCCGGGATCATGACCTGAGCTGAAGGCAGATGCTTAACGACTGAGCCACCCAGGCACCCCAATGGCCACTTTAAATTATCCCACAATTGAGGATTTTGACATTACAGATACCTACAAATGTGCCAGAACAAGCAGAAGGGGAGTTAAGGGAGTGACTAGAGACGCCACACTTTGGGGGCCCCTGGGAGCAGCTACCACGATGGCACAGGACAGTGACTTTGGAGGACAGCCGAGGGGAGGCATGGGAGTGAATCTGTGCTGAAAGAGACTGGAGTCCAGGTGTTAGTGGAGCTCATTCAGCAAACATCAAATAATCAATATGCAACCTGCTCCACACCCTGGGCCCCAGGCCAGATGAGGCCGAACCTGGAGAGCCTGAAGGGGGAGGAGCCATGGCTCCTCTCCTGGCCCCTTTGCCCGCCCTTCATCAGTAAAACAAAGGAAGATGTCTTTTCTCCTGTTCCAACCAAAACCCTGACCAGGTTGCAGGTTACAGGTCTCTTCTCCACCACCCGACCCTAGCCGCCCTTACTCTTCAGAATGTACTCTGATGGGCAAGGTGACTTAACTTCATTTGAATGAGAAAGTTGGGGATGGGTGTGGTAGGGGTGAAATTATGGCTCAGAATACTGACTAACCAAACTGTTAGGAGGAACCAGCTTGTAAATGTCCCATGACTTTCAGGTCAATGCATCACTTTGAGAAATCAGATGAAACCTAACAGACAATCTTCCCCTCTTGCCTCCATCCCCCAAAATGCTCCACACAAAGTCTTACACAATTTTCCGGGTTTCGTGACCCCTAAATCCCATCCATCCATGCACGTACTCTGAAATGAAAAATCTCTGCTCTAAAAGTTCCCGTCAGAAGTTGGTACCAAAGTGGCCGCTGAAGAGGGACCAACACAGCAGGGCTGGAACGGAGCAAAAGGGAATCGAATCAATAGCAGATGCATTAGGATGCACATCTGCCCCCGGGGCATGTTTTACCTTTCGGGTTGAAAAGAGCCAGGAAAGATGTATTTTTGACAAGTGCCGCCTCAGAGCACAGGCTCCACATGGTACCGCCTCTGCAGCTGGTGCTGTGGCCAAAGTGTGAGTCAGAGTGTGATGAATGGAGCTCTACTTTTTGAGGCCGGGAAGGAGGAGGAAGTGGCCTTTTGAGGCCGGGCATTGGAAACATGGTCTGGGATCACGAGTACAGTGAGAGGTTAGGCTGGGAGAGGAATGGCTAAGGGGAAGGCTGCAGGACCACAAGAATTATTATGACAAAGGCCCAGACAGCCCAGCCCGCTGGCTCACAGTGTCTACCTGGTGATGAAGCAGGTAGAAGAGGCCCAGGGTTCTGTTCTCTGCCTAGACTCCTCTGCAGCCTTCCTTGGCAGGGAAGGGGGAGTACAAATCCGCATACGAAGCTTGTTGCAAGCCTTACCTTGGGTATCTTTCTCTTCTTCCTGCCATTCTGTGGGTCTCCAAGGTTAAAGAAAGTGTCATCAGGGCTGCTGGGGGTGGAGGGGGGGCTGATTTTGGAAGGGGACCCATATCCATCCCGACTCAGCTTCCTGGTGTCCAGCAATTTGAAGTTCCTCCTCTCTGAATTTTGCCGGAAAAAAGCAGGTTTGGCCAATGACTGCTGGGAGGGGAAAGGAGAAAAGAAAAGAAGAGTAAATACAAAGGGCCTAAGTGGCAGGTAGCTGGGGGTGCCAGTGATACAGACCACGAGATTGAGAGGGAAAGCTTGGTCTCTCTTCCCAGGGTATGCTGAGTTTGTCTCTGATAAAGGACGCAGATCCAATCCTGTCTCTCTCTCTCTCTCTTTCTTTTTAAAGATTTTATTTATTTATTTGGGAGAGAGAGAGAGTGATTGAGAGAGCATGAGCAGGGTAGAGGGGCAGAGGGAGAGAGAGAAGCAGACTCCCCACTGAGCAGGCAGCCGTACGTGGGGCTCGATCCTAGGACCCCGGGATCATGGCCTGAGCCAAAAGCAGACGCTTAATCGACTGAGCCACCCAGGTACCCCCAATCCAGTCTCTCTTTTTAGACAAGTGGGAATTCACTGGCTCAGTCCCTTATCTGTACAAATCAGGTGTTCTGAGAACCAAGACCCACTGTACTCAGAGGGAGAAAACCTAAGCAGAGCTTTGACCCTGCTGCTGATAAGCTGAGTACCTCTTGTTGAAGGAGTTTCAAACCCTAAGGTTCAGTGTTTAATTTCTAAAAATGAGCCACTTTAAGGTCAAAGGCAAACAGAAAACTGGTTAAAAAAAACAACAACAACAACAAAACCCCCCAAAACCCTGCAACTTATAGAACTTATTTTTCTAACACATACTATGAATTAATGAAAAGACAAACAGGCAAAAAAAAAATAGGAATAGAAAATTTATAGAAAAAGAAATACAATGATGCTTAGATATAGAAAAAGATTCTCAGCTTCACTCATAAGAGAAAAATTAAAACTCCATCAAGCAGACATTTTTCACTCAAAGATTAGCAAAGATAAATTTGCTGGATTAGTGGAACTCACTGGATTAGTGACAGTGAGGGAAATAGTCCCTTTCACGCTTCATACAATGTTGGTAGGACTAGAAATTGGTACAGGTCTATGGAGGGCAATGGAGCAGTGTCAACAAAATTACAAACGCATACACCCTTTCACCCAGCAATTCCACCTGTAGGAATGGGCCTACTTGTGCAAAGTTACATTGCACAAGGCAAACTATACTGTATACTGTGCAAAGTTACATTGCACGAGGCAAACTATATTATATACTATGAAATGGTTTATAAACACAAAGTACTGGAAACAACCTAAATGTCCATCAGCAGAGGCTGGTCAAATAAATTATGGTACATCTATACAGTGGAATACAATGCAGGTACAAAAAAAACAATGTACTGATATAGAAGGTTCTCTCAGATGCATATTGTTAAGCATTAAAAGCAAAGAGTAGAACAATTGGTATAACATTCTGATATTTGTGTGTGTGTGTGTGTGTTTTTAAAGATTTATTTATTTATTTGAGAGAGAGAGAATGAGAGAGAGAGAGAGTACATGACGGGGGGAGGGTCAGAGGGAGAAGCAGGCTCCTTTGCTGAGCAGGGAGCCTGATGTGGGACTCGATCCCAGGACTCCGGGATCATGACCTGAGCCGAAGGCAGTCGCTTAACCAACTGAGCCACCCAGGTGCCCCCCCCTTTTTTTAAAGATTTATTTATTTATTAGAGAGAGAATGAGAGAGAGAGAGTACATGAGAGGGGGGAGGGTGTGTGTGTGTTTTAAGGAGCTATTCTGCTGGTGTATGCATAGAATAGTTCTGAAAGATACATAAGAAACTAACTGGTTGTTCTGGGGGAGAGAAATGGAGGGTCAGGGGTGAGAGGAAGATTTTTCACTATATACCTTTCATACTCCTTAAATTTTGAACCATATGAATATGTTAACATGGAAATAAGAAATATTAGTAAGATAAAATTTAAAAACTACTTGGACTGGGGCGCCTGGGTGGCTCAGCCGTTAAGCGTCTGCCTTCGGCTCAGGTCATGGTCCCAGGGTCCTGGGATCGAGCCCCGCATCGGGCTCCCTGCTCCGCGGGAAGCCTGCTTCTCCCTCTCCCACTCCCCCTGCTTGTGTTCCCTCTCTCGCTGTGTCTGTCTCTGTCAAATAAATAAATAAAATCTTTAAAAAAAAAAACACAAAAAAACTACTTGGACTACCTGTTTCCTAAAGGTACTTCCAGGACACACACTGTATGATACTATAATTATAACTACAAAGTGTCCTTTTTAAAATGAATTAATGAATTAGGTGGTGAAAAGGTATATAAAGCACCTAGCAAAATACCTGATACACAATAGGCATTCAATATAAGTTTTTTCTGGGGCGCCTGGGTGGCTCAGTCATTAAGCGTTTGCCTTAGGCTCAGGTCATGATCCCATGGTCCTGGGATCGAGCCCCACATCGGGCTCCTTGCTCAGCGGGAAGCCCGCTTCTCCCTCTACCACTCCCCCTGCTTGTGTTCCCTCTCTTGCTATGTATCTCTCTGTCAAATAAATAAATAAAATCTTTAAAAAATATATATATATGTTTTTCTCATATGACATGGACATTTTTTCATACTTTAATATGCTAACTGCTTTTTTCTTTAGCATATTATTTTTTTAAAGATTTTATTTATTTGAGAGAAAGCACAAGTGGGGTGAGGGGCAGAAGGAAAGGAAGAAGCAGGCTCCCCATGAGGGAGCCTGAGGCGGGGCTGGATCCCAGAACCCTGGGATCATGACCTGAGCTGAAGGCAGACGCTTAACCAACTGAGCCACCCAGGTAGCCCTCTTTAGTATATTATTTATGTTCTTTGCCCATTTATCTTTTGGAATTCCAGGGTTTTTCTTATTAATTTGAATGAGCTCTTTATATAGAACAAATACGAACTATTTGTCAGTTTTGCTGCAAGTGTGTTTTTCTCATGGTATTTTTTTTTTGTATATGAAAATCTGTTCATCTTTTCTTGTGCGATTGATTTAATCTTGTCTCTCTAGAAAATCTATATCTTTTTAGAGGTTTAATACATACTTAATTCCATTTTCTTTTGGATTTTCTTAGTCTATTTTGAACATATTTTATTCATTAATCCATCAGTAATTTATTTTATTGTATGTTAGTCTAAAGTGATTTTTCCCCCAAGCTTAAGTTATCCCTATTCCATTTAATAAATGAGCCTTTTTTTTGCTATCAGTTTACAAGGCCACATTTATTACATCTTAAACTCTTATAGAATAGTCTTACTCTGTTCCACTGATTTCTCAATTCTTTTTTTTTTTAAAGATTTTATTTTTATTTATTCGAGAGAGAGAGAGAATGAAAGATAGAGAGCGCGAGAGGGAAGAGGGTCGGAGGGAGAAGCAGACTCCCCGCTGAGCAGGGAGCCCGATGTGGGACTCGATCCCGGGACTCCAGGATCTTGACCTGAGCCGAAGGCAGTCGCTTAACCAACTGAGCCACCCAGGCGCCCTGATTTCTCAATTCTTGTATAGTTCCGAATAGTATATAACAATAACTCCAGAAACTTTTCTTTTTAAAGATTTCTGGGAATAAAGACTCCTAGCCTTCCTAAGTGGCCTGCTCTGATATTTGTATCATGAGTCTACGGGGAGCAATCAATTGCTTAGCATCACAAGCCCTGAGTAGAAAAAGCCAGTATGGGGATGCCTGGGTGGCTCAGTCAGCTGAGTGTCTGCCTTTGGCTCAGGTCACGATCCCAGGGTCCTGGGATTGAGTCCCACATAAGGCTCCTTGCTCAGCAGGGAGCCTGCTTCTCCCCCTGCTTGTGCTCTCTCTCTCTGACAAATAAATAAAACCTTAAAAAAAAAAAAAGCCAGTATGGTTTGCTCACTATGGGCATCTTAATAATTAAACCAGCACAAGAAGAAGGAAGAATGACAATCTTTCTTATAGACCAAATTCCAACTGCAGTGAAATCCAAGGAATGGGCCCAATTCTTTCACTGCATTAGAGTCACCTATCAAATTCTTGGCAAAAAGCAGTTATCTGTTTTCATTAGACTTTTAGGTTGTGAGAGTGTTTGTTCAAAGATTTGACCTATGAAAAGGTCTGAGAAGAAAGGAAACAAAGATACCAAAACATGGCACACAGTTCTCGAAAGGGTGTCCAGAGACCTGGTGGGGGCTGGGGTTGTGTGGGCTGCATCCCCTCTGTGGTGCCACTGCCAGAGAATGGGGTCCTGGTGTGCCCCCCAGAGCACCCAGAAGCAGCCCCCAAATGTCCAGGGAGCTTTCATGAAGGGGTGGAATTTCAGCTGCTACTTAACTGGTAACAGAGGACCTACTAGGCTCCGGGCTAGAGCGTTCTCAAGTAGACAGCACAATCTGAGAAGAGGCATGGAAGTGAGGAAGAGCAAATTGGCCCAGGGGGCCCCTGGGAGGCTCAGTTGGTTAAGTGTCTGCTTTTGGCTCGGGTCGTGATCTCAGGGTGCTGGGATCGAGTCCCACATCGGGCTCCCTGCCGCTCCCCCTGCTTGTGTTCTTTCTCTCTCTGACAAATAAATGAATAAAATCTTAAAAAAAAAAAAATTAGACCAGAGAGAGTGCTTGTGGCTCAGAGCAAGTGTAGTGAAACAGATGGAGGAGATCATACAGCAATGATGGCATAGAACTGTCTGTGCAAGGCCTTTGCAAGTGAGGGTGTGACTCTTAGACTTAGCAGGGAGCAGCCAGCTTCTTCTTAAAGGCCAGACGGTAAATATTTTAGGCTTTGTCATAACTACTCAACTCCGCCACTGCATTGTAAAGGCGGCCATACACAATATGTACGTGAATGAGCGTGGCCATGTTCCAGAAAAACTTTATTTACACAACCAGTCACCCAGCAGTAGTTTGCCAAACCTGATTATAGTATTAAAAGGAAAGATACTGTAGGACCCTAGGGATGATTATGTCAGGCAGTGGCCCAAAGAGGATTCCAGCTTTTGATCAGAAAGCCTCGCATCAACACACCCTGATGATAATATATGCCCATTCCCATTGTGTCTCTAAGAAGCAACCTCTAGGAAGGGGCCTAACTTTGTTGCAGAGGCAAATAAGAGTCTCCCTAATCTTATAAATATTGGATTCACG